AAATTTTAAGTCTTTTACAGATATGACTACAGCTGTAACTAGAGCTCACAGCAGCTGTTCCAGTCCAGAAGGGCAGGTTCCAGATGTGGCTGTTGAGAGCCACATCAAGAGAGCTGGGCTGCTGAGGCCCTGCCTGAAGCATTCATTTTTGGATTTTTTAAAAGTACTTTGAGGCCAGGGAGCATGGGTCTGTGAGCTGATGGAATCTGTAGCTGGACTAAAAGCCATCTGAACCTATGAAGTTCAGTCATTTATGTATGGAAACTGTGGCCTAAGGAAAAAGAGACTTTGTAAGCAGCTCAAGGCTGGGAGGGACCCAGACCCTGTCCTAAAAGAGGTTAGAGGGGGGTGAGACAGTGACACATGAAGAGGCCGTGCACTGAGCAGCCATGGGTCTGTGGAGGCCACGGTTGGCCGAGATTATCAGGAAAGCTTCCCGGTGGAGGAGGGACCAACCTGAGCTTTGAAAAGGCCCAGATCTGGAAATGTGAAGAGAAGGCCACAGTTGCTGAGCAGACCGAAGAGTCAGCCTGCCCAGAACTGACAGCTTTGGGGTGCAGACAGATTAAATAAGTCGGTTCATTTCAGCAGCAAGCTGCAGAGCACCTGTATTGCTCTGGGTGGGACAGGTGCTGTAGGGTGCATAGGGAACAGAACCCCCGACAAGACTCTCTGCCTGGGTGGAGCCTGAATCATCCAAGAGGGACGTTAGGAGCAAACCTGTGCGCTGTGTGGATCTGCATGCGCCCTTGTACGGGGAGGGATTTCAGGCTTAGGTAGTCGTCCGAGTTGGCTGTGTGGAGAGACACATTGCTAAGCACAGGAGCAGCGCAAAGGCTCTGTGGCCTGAGCAGGACTTTTGGGACCTGAGGAGTGGGTGGGCTGCATCGCCGAGGGGCATGGGAGGAAGGGTGAAGTCAGGAGGTCTGGGGGCCTCATCACATGGGTCCCCGTCAGCCATACAGAGGCCTTTCATTTTACTTTGATTAAAGTGTGGAACAATGGCAGAGGCCTGGCACGCTCCCTCGTGGTTCAGTGGGGTCCAGTCTGTGTGCTGCGCTGTGGAGAATGACTTAGGAAGGCCACACCAGGGGAGACTGCCAGGGTGGTACCGCGATCTGCGTGAGGTGGTAGTGACCGTGGACGTGAAGAGGTCAGGTTCTGGACAGATTCAGAGGTTGCTGCTAATAGAGTGTCCTCACACATAGGCTGTGGATTTAGAAAAGTCTGCTGTACATTGACAAGGTAGAAAGAAAGCCAGAGAGTGGATTTCATGCCTCCCTAAGAGAACCGCCTCATTTCCCATGTACTGTAGTAATTCATCCCTGCTGCCTGTCGCGTAAGTGAGTCTGGTGCTAGACATGCACTGTTCTGTGACTGTAGCTTTGTTGAAGATTTGGACAGCTGCGTCCAGTAGCAGCATCGGTCTGAATCAAAGACATGGCCTTGTGAAGCCAGCACATGGCAGCAGGAACAGAGTGGTGGTCCCAGCACCCCCGCCCTGGGGGTTCTGCCCTCAGAAGCACACGTGGGAGCAGCAAATGCAGTTGTGTTCTTCTGTCCCGCGGGAGCGAGGAGGAATGGATGTGTCTGTTTTGGACTTGGTTTTCCTAAGTGGATGTCTGGTTTCTGACCCCAAACGTTTCCTGGGAAGGTGTGATGATTGACTTAAGTTCTGGAGCCCCTGGCCTCAGCTGACACCTCGCCCTGGGCCAAACAGATGGACTTTGTGGCCCCCTCTTTGATCTGCCCCGCTATGCAGATGAGCTGGGAGAGGGCTGTGTGAACTTCCGTGGTCCGTGCAGCTGTCCACGTTGGGCATCTTGGTTAGAAAAGTGCTCTGCTGTGTTCAGGTTCTGCCTGGACTCGGTTGCTTTATACTCACACAGTGCAGGCGTGCAGGGGGGCAGGCAGCGTTTGAATGGGGGAGGCTGTGTCTCTGGAGCCAGGGCTACAAGCAGCTTTGTCTGAAACTGGGCTCCCTAGAGCCAAATTGGAGCCATGGAAGAACGTGAACAGATTTAATTAACACCTTATTTGTGTGACTAATTTACACTGTGTGGTTTAGCTATTGTAACTTTATCCATAGTCCTAGGAAATGGAAAAAGAGAAGAAAATTAAGGTATCTGTGGCATTTAACTTGGGCAGTTTTTAGTATGTTGTTTTTTTCACTACAAAGATGATGTGTGATGAAAAAGTATTCAATGATAAAGTAATAAATAAGTTAGAAACTCTCTCCTACCCTCAATTTCATTCGTAGGAACAAATCACTGTTAATAGTCTGGTCTTCAAGAACATTTTCAGTGTGTGTATGACAGGTTATACATGGACAGAAAAGTTTTTGAAATACAAGTGGGATCATGTTATAAACATTGTCACCGTATTTTTTGTAGTATATCTCTGACATAACTGTACATCAGAAAGAGTACTTGAATGTCCTGATACACACATACATAGTTCCCTAGGACCGAATTCCAGGGGTAGGGTCGGTCACTTGGCCATTAGTTGAGTGCATTTAAAATGTGCTCAGTCCTGTCAGACTCTCCTCGGAAGCTCCCAGTCCACATCCCTTCTGATGGCCACAGAGGTGAGTGCAGCCCTGTTGGATTTAGTGACAGTGAAGGGTCTGTGGCCTGAGAGGGCCAGGATGTGACCGTCAGCTCTGCTGCCTGTGCCCAGGGAGAAGTGGCCTCCCTCAGGGAACCTTTCACCCCCACATCAGAGTGGAACCTACACTCGGCTCTTTTAATTATGCTAATGACTGTTTTAATTATCTCTTATATTATGAAATGACAAATGAAGCTCAGGACAAAATAGTGTAAGTGAAATTAATTCACTTGTAGGCAAGGAAAATTGGGAAATTTTTGTTTCCAAAGTTAATTCTTTGATACTGAGCTCAGCTCCCAAAGAAAGGCTGGTTTGGTAAAAGCCAGTGAGACTGGTAAGGCAGAGACTCAAATCTCCTTAGGGAAAGAGTGACGGTGAGCTGCTTTATAAAGCACGTCTTGCCCTGAATTTTGTAGTTCCTACATGACTGCACAGCTTCATCCAGGTGGTCCCGGCCAGTAGTAGCTCAACAAGAACACAGGTAGGAGGCCCTTTGCTGGCAGCCTCTTAAGTCTGACCTCAGCAAAGCCCTAAAATCCCTGGAGTGAATGGTTAGAAGAAAGCCAGACCTGGGAGCCCCACTCAGAAACTTCAGGTTCCTCTCATCTGTCTGCCCTCTCTGCACATTAGTTCATTGAGGGTTCTTCTGCTGTTTACTTCTACAGCTCTCTGCTCGTCAGGCAGATGGGGCAGGCCGGCTCTGCCTCCTTGGTCACCCTCCCTAGAGCTCACAGAGCCTCTGCCCATCTGTTGGCACCGTGGTAGCATGCACCAAGCCTCCCCTCCCTGGAGGCCGCGAGCCGGCTGGCTTGACACCCATGCACCTCCTCCTCCCTGCCCCGCTCTGGGCCCAGGGCCTGTCTTCCTGCCTGCCAGCCAGCCACAGACGTCCCCTAGCTGCTGCTTCTGACAACCAGTGGGGACTTCGGCCCGAGCAGCTCTCTGCTAAGAGCCCACATAGCCCGTCTGCTTTTGCTAATGAGAGGATGTAGCAGTATTTACCTTAGAGCTGGTTGCTTCTGGAAGCCAAAATGCTCTATTTCCTTAACCTAGTAAATGCCTTGGAATAGTGCTATTTAACAGAAATAAAGTGTGAGCCGTATGTGTAGTTTAAAATTTTCTAGTAGCCACATTTTAAAAGTAGATGAAATTGCAATAATTTTAATTTAATCCAACATATACAAAATACTGCTTCAGCATGTAATCAATATGAAAAATTATTTTCTTTCATAAAAGTCTCCAAATTGCATGTGTAGTTCACAACAGTCTCTGTGTAAATGAGCCACATTTCTAGTGCTCAGTGGCCTGTTGTGTCTGTGGGCAGCACAGGTCTGGAAAATGCCTCCTAGTGGTTCAGATTTTTCTGTTGACAGTGGCTGAATAGAACATGATTGAAGAGAAACAGATCGATGGGCCCTGCTTTGGGGCTTCATGCTCTTGCTTCCAGAAATCTGGATTTATATTTTCCTTCATGTCAAAGTTGATTTTTCAGCCCTGAATTCAGTTGATTTTGATACCATTTGAGATGGGTTCTATTCTTTGAACTATTGTGAGGCATATGGTTCCTGAATTTCCTGGCACATAAAATAACTTACTCCTCTCTATTTTAATTTGGGTCCAGAAAAACTATCTTGAATATTTAAATGCTTATATCCTTCAAACCAAGATTCATGCAGATTTTTATTTTGCCATCTAAAATACAGTGTGAATGTGTCATCCCGTATGATTTTGGGTACTTGAGAGCTAAAATTTACAGTGGCACTGCCACTGTCCACAAAGAAAAGTGTGTATCTTTGCAGCTGAGGCCACGTGCCCTGACCCACAGCATTTAACCTGCCCGTGGCATCACATTCCAGATAGTGACCCAAGATCACATCCAAGAGGAGCGTGCACAGGGGAGGCCAGGTGGCTGTTAAAGGGACAGGAGAGGCCTGTTTAACTGGGAGCCTGAGGCAGTCGTGGAAACTGCCGCACAGCGAGGGGAACATGTGTCCTGCGTGGGCCCAGAGAACAGTGGCCAGATTGCACAAAGGGCCACCAGCCAGGGAAGGCCAGCCCTATGATTAATGCCGAGAAAGCTTTGACCTCAGTGCCTTGGGGAAATGTGCACTCACGGAACAGCGCCGTCCTTGGGTGTTCGGGCAGCCTGGTGGACGTGTCCTGAGTGTGATCCGTGTGTGGGAGCCGCTCATGGTGTCATTTCTCGTCCCCTTTCCTACAGCTAGAGCAGCAGAGGCAGCAGTTACTCACGGAACGTCAGAACTTCCACATGGAGCAGCTGAAATACGCTGAGCTGCGGGCTCGACAGCAGATGGAGCAGCAGCACGGGCAGACCCCTCAGCAGGTGCATCAGCACTCGGGGCCGCCCGGCGTGATGCCACCCCCCTACCCTCTGCTGCACCACCAGATGCCACCGCCTCACCCCCCCCAGCCAGGTAAGGGGATGGCTCTGCTCACAGGTGAGGCTGGGGACCAGCTGCACCATTGGCGGTTTCTGACTCGACCATTCAGAAGGCGCCTTGTCCAGGAAATCAGAAGCAAGTAGGAGCTGGTTCTGCAGCCACCGGCACACATGCCTGCCGCACTCCCCGGGTCCTCTGGGCAGGACGCCTCCCAGTGGCCCGTACATCTCAGAGCACCTGAAAAAGTCATCCTTGGATCGTTTGTTTTTATTTTTATTTTTTACCTTGCAGAAGTTTTGAAGGGTAAACACACAAAAAGAATAGTACAGTGAACTTTGAGGACCCAGTTTCAACAACTACTGTTGCCTAAGTTCTAGAAAAGTTAACGTGCTATAGCATTTCAGTTAGAAGCTGAGGATCGTCACCAGGTCAGTCATCTAGCTTTTGGTATTTGGCTGAAATTTGTGGTGTGTGAAGGAAGAGGAAACGTGCCTAGGGAGAGGCAGCAAGGTCGGAAGAGAAGTGAGAAGAAGGTCAGATAAATTCGTCAATGGGAGCTCAATTTGTCCAGCTCTCAGATTTTTAGAGCTCATATGATTGTATAGATCACATGTAACCTTTTCTCCATAGAACTGGGCTGCAGGTAATGCTAGAGCGCATTAGAATACCAGCTCGCTGTCATGAGTCTGCTAGGCTGTCAGGTGTATGGGCTGGGCACCGGTGGCTCCTGTGAACTGACAGCTGTGCCTTCTGTGTGGTTTGTGCCTCTGCACTCGGTTCATTCACACGTGTGTATTTCGGACAGGGTACTGTCTGCGGGCCGCTCTCTTCCGCGGCTCTGTGTGTTCCTGCTCCTAACTGCCTGGAAACTCCAGCTTTTTATAGTTGTTCCTGTCTCTGAAATAGTGTCCAAGGTGACTTGTTCCTACCAAACAAGAGAACAAAGGATTATCCATGTTTATGAAACACAGAGGGTACGGCATGCTTCTGGTGCGATTGGTGGGCACGTGGAAATGAGGTGGCCATGTCCGTCTTTATACTAGCCTTTGCTTTTGCTCATTTTTATGAAATATACAGCATTGCGTTTCACTTCTCATGTAAGCTGTGCTACAGTGTGATTTCACGAGGTGATTCCCCCAAAGCCTTACTTGTTCTTCCTGGAAGACTGCCACCCAGGTGGCACGAGATGAATGCCCACAATAGCAGCCACCTCTCGTCACACCCTGGGCCATGGGGTCCAGGAAGGAGAGGGCCTCGTTGGTGGCTGCTGCTCTTGGACGTGTCCTGGTGGTGCTGCTGACCAAGCAAGGAGGGCACCTCTCTTCTTGGGGTCTCCTGGGAGGTGAGGTGCCAGCACTCCGGGGCACTAGCACATGTCTAAAGGAAGATCACCCATTGGTGAGCTGAGTCAAAAGCAAATGGTGAAGATCTAGTACATAAGACAGTGTGGACTCTGCTTTCCCTGGGCAGTCTCAAGGTCATGCCTTGTGGATCTGGAATGATCTGCCTTTGTTGGCAGCAGGGGGATTGCCTTTGTGTATGGAAAGCAGAGGTAAAAGTACATCTTACTATTAATAGTGTAAGACTTTTTAGAAGTACCTAAAAAAATCAGAATAGAAATTGATCTGACTCGAGAAGTCAGGCATGGCAGACATGACATTTTCATGATATGATTAGAACATTTTGCATCATAGTAAAATACTGGTTGTTAAAGGAAATTTCAGCCAAGTCATTAGGTACTTGGCCTTCAAGCCCACGAGTTAGACCCACTTACATGGCCCTGCCCATGGGAAATAGTGTCAGGGAAAGATTACAGTTAGTCTCACTTCTCAGTGCACCCCGGGCTCACAGCGCACACTGGAGAGGCAGAAGAAGGGCCCGTCAGTCAGTTAAGTCTTTATCATGTGAGGGGCCTTGGGTCTTGCTTACGTCCTGTGATAACATCCTGTCACGCAGCTCCCCGGAGAGGCAGGCCACCCTCACCAAGAGAAGAGCAAGGGCCCAGTCTCCGCCGGACGAGGACCCTGTGGCAGGTGCCCCCGAAGCTGGGGAGCCACTGAGGGGAGGCTGGGCTACCCACTCTTGGCCTGATTGTGTTACTGTTCGGTGGGGCACTCAGCCAGAGGATGTGCTGTGGACGTTGCAAACCGAGCAATGAACGTGCTCAAGGCTGGACATTCACAGGTTTCCTTTCCTCCTGTCAGATTCTTTTCCCACTTGCCTCCCGTTCCCATCCCAAAGAATAGAAATAAAATCCTTGAATAATATTCTACTAGGCATGTTGAGCATAACATTTTAGTAACAAAATCTGAGAGTGTGAGGGGTTTTTCCAGTAGGCTAAAACTAATTTTAGCAAACCTTTCCATTTTTCAATCTTCAGATAACCTGTTTAAAAAAAAAGATAAGCTTGTCTGTAGGTCACACCCCACCGGTTCATGCTTTGATGGTGCCACTTTGAAGCCTTGTCTCCCTTCCTGTCTGTCTGTCTCTCTTCCACCCCTTTCACCGTCTCTGGTAGGAAAGAAATGCCTGATTTTTTTGTCAGGGAAGGCACACACACACCCTTCATTTTGTTCAGTAAGGAAGAAACATGTGCCTAGGATTGAAGTATACACCTTGGGTTTTTTTCTTGCGTATATTAAGTGCTTTCACATGAGTGATTTCATCTGCGCACAGTGTGGTAGGAGAACTGGATTCGGAGTCAGGAGGTCTGGGTCTGGCCCGCTTAGCGGTTCTGTGGCCGTGAAGAAGCCCTACTCCCCTGAGAGAGTGCTCGCTCTGCCTCACCGCATGCTGGAGGGGCCAGCGCCGTGGTGAGGCCCCGGAGCTCATGACCAGTCTCCCCGGGCAGACGGAAGGCGGGTCAGCAGAGGTGCGCAGCTGTCAGCTTACACTGTGCAGCCTCAGGACATGGGCTCAGAGCCCTGAGGGCCCCTCTGCTCACGGTCGGGCCGTGCACAGCGCCACACTGCTTCCGGCCGGAGCACCCGGGCGCTCCCTGAGGAGGCTGCACACAGGCATGCCTGCCGCTCAGCCAGCGGTCGGGCAGCCCACACCTCTCGGTAGGTGGAAGCGTGGACCCCCCGCCCACCATACTGCTGAAGGCGAGAGGGCTGAGGCTGAACTGCCACGTGACCTGCCTCGGGCAGCACGCCCCTGCCCAGCTCTACCCCCCAGCTTGCAGAGCTCTCCTGGCTCCTCATAAAGGAGGCGTCACCACCTGTCAGTTTCAGGGGAGAGACCCGAGAAGGGCCGGCAGAAGGCCTTCCCAGCCTGCTCAAGGCCTGTTTGCGCTGGGCTGGTATGCAGCCTGTACCCACTGACAGACAGGCTTTTCCCTCCAGGTAGACTTGTGGAGGTGTGGGCCACCTGCCTTCCCGTCACACCGCTGCATGACCAGCAGAGGGTCACCAGCTGGGGTTGTGGGGGAGTGTGAAGCAGATCCCTGCTCTTCCTGTGGCCCGGTGGGGGGTGGGGGTGGAGCAACAGGGCCTCCAAATGGGCTGGGAGAGGCTCCTTCAGGCCAGCAGTGCCTCCTCGACAGCCTTTCGGAGGATGGTGCTGATTCTTAGAAAAGGGAGGCCTGGGTTGTGCGCCTTGTCTCTGCCCCAGGGTGTTCCGCTCCAGGCTGCCTGTGCGAGGCTTTCCCAGCGCAGAGCCTTCCTCCACCTGCCCCTCACTGCCCCCGCCCAGGCCCCACGGGTTCTCTCCCTCTGTGCTCTCTCCCCCGCTCCCAGGTTCCTCCCGTTACCACCCCTGCCTCCTGCCCGCACACATCCTGCTTCTCTGCCAAAGTTCCTTTTCTCTGTGCTGGGACCCGACTCCTGGTCCCTTAAAGCTTTCCGTCACACACATGGGTCCCGTGCCCTCCGTTCTCCACGACCTTCCGCTGAGTCCCCTGTAGCCTCACTGTTCCGTCCCCCGCCCTGCTGAGTGCACGACTCACGCAGCCTCCGTGCTTGAAGCATGTCAGTCAGATAAAGCTGCACAGCTGGGCTGTGACCCAAGCACGTCTTCCACCTCACAGAGCCTGTGCCTCTCCATGAAATGCAGCTTCCTCGGGGGTTGGCCAGCATGCAAATGTCACATGGAAGTGACTCGGACACAGGGGCAGCGTTCACATTGCGATCTTGCGTGGCTGACTCAGCGAGGCCCTGTGCATAGGGTGGTGTGCCGAGGCCGCCCCTGCTCCTCTGCCTCGCTCGTAGGTGTTCACAAGCTTGTCTTGATCCACTGGGGGCAGCAGTTTCTTGGGCTCACCCTTTGCGTTGCCTTCCCTCAGGGTGCCTGTCACCCATGTGTGTGCCCCACCCTTCAATGCTGAGGGCCCTGTGCACTGCCTGTGGCCCTCCCTGGACTGGCAGGTCCTCGCACACTGGCCAGCTTTGCCCTAGCGCCATCTTGGCGCAGGTACCATCTCAGAGGGTAGCTAAGGTGTGTGTGTTGGCGGGGAGCTGTCCATCCTGCGTCAGGTGATCGCATTACTGATCACAGAGGTTGGCCCGAGGCTGCTGTCCTGTTTGCCTAGGGGCATAATGTTGTGTATGATGCCTTTAAAAATGTCCCCCCAAAACAGCGGGCCGCTTGTACACCTGAGTCATGTGCATCCATGGGGTTGTCCTTATTGATACCCTTGTAGTGCAGACTCCTCCCCCTGGGTCTTGGTCTGGGGAACAGACACTGGAAGGAGATGGTGTGTGGCCTGAGACTCTTGAGCCTTTCTGAGCACCTTCTGACAGATTTCCTGGGCATCTATAGCTGCTCTGTGTGTCTTACCAAGAGGCCCTTCTCCCCACATTTCCAGGACTATACCTCAAGCATTCTTGATTCCAGCTGTCTCAGAACTGTGTCTAGAAACCTATATTCAGTTTCACGCCTTGACCTCACATAGATATTAAAGTTACTAGATTCTTTAAAAGAAAAAGCTGCATAGATTCTGTTTTCTTAGTCTGTAAAGAATATTAAGTTGCCCTTATGTTGGAGCTTCAGCCTTAGTTTATGCCCTGTTCTCCTTTGAGCTCTTTAAAACCAAGCCAAACAGCCAACCACTGAGCTTAAGAACCGTCCTATCTAGTGCAGGCCTGGCACTTTACAGCCTGGGGCCAAATCTGTCTCATCTCCTGTTTCTGTATGGACCATGGGCTAATAATAGTTTTTACAGCTTAAGTGGTTGGGGGAACTCATAAGATGGAGGTTTATGTCATGTGAAATGTTGTGAAATTCACATTCCAGAGCCCATAAGCAACATTTACTAGGACACAGCCACACCGGTTTGCCTTATCACATAGGACTGTCTGCAGCCACATGGCAGAGTTGAGTGGTGGTGCTGAGGGTTCTAAGCAGTGTGAACCTGTGCACAAGAAGCATTTTACTGTCTTATGGCTCGTTCATAAATTTCAAAATAGGAGGAGAAGAGGCTGGCTGGCTAGTTCTTGGCGGGGGCAGGCATCATAGCAAGGGTCACAGCAGAGTCTTTGTGAACAGGACTTGGGGGCTCCAGTCAGGATCCATGCTTATTGGGGATCTGCTCTTAAGAATCTGTTCTTCATTTCTTGGTGGTGGCCATGACCCCCTCAGACATACCTCCCCACAAAGGCTGTGTGGCTTTCAGCCTCGGCTGAGCCGGGGTCCCTCCCCTGTGCGGTGAGTTGCTATTGGAGTCCCCCTCTCTGTTCCATGTGTGCAGCACTTTGTACCCGTGGGAAGATACCTGCCAGCCTGCTGTTTACCCAACTAACCAGAATGGCCGCTTGCTTACAGGGCACCTGTTTTGTCCTCACACCTGCAGACCTGCCTGTGCTGGGGCCTAGGGTGGCCGTTCACTCCACAGACCTGCCCCACTATCCTCCTCCTCCAGAGTTGAAAATTAATTCAAAAATTAGAAGATACAGAGCTTATCACAGATCATTGCCATGGGCACTTGATGTCCTTCAGAGGGCCGGGCCTCACCCTTTGCGTCGCCTTCCCTCACGGCGCCTGGGCTCGGCAGTCTGAGTCCTGAGTTCTCTTCCTCTTGCCGGCATGCTCACCTTCGTACTTTGGATTCCCCCACAGGCCAGATGCCCGGCCCAGGGCCCATGATGTCTGGGCAGCCCTTGCCAGGCCGCATGGTTCCCACTGTTGCAGCCAACATCCACCCCACTGGGAGCATCCCTACACCTCCTGGGATGCCGCCACTGCCAGGAAACATCCTGGGGCCCCGGGGACCCCTCACAGCACCTAATGGCATGTGTAAGTACACGGTGGAGCTGCATTCTCCCAGGCCCCTGGGAGGGCTGCCGGTGGGGGAGGGAGGCTTGGCACTGTCCACTCTGGGGTCCCATGGGCAGTGCGGCCTGTACTGGGGCCCAGAAGTCGGGTTTGTGTCCAGGACTCTTCAGTACTCCTGACGGGCGGCTACACACAGGCTCTGGTGCCACGGCATTCGTCTGCAGGCCTGCCAGAAGGACTCTGGTTTCCCGCTGCCAGCTGAGCCTGTCCGGTCTGAGTCTTGGTAGGCATGCGGAGTTCCTGGTTTTCCCTACAGGAACGTTTTGTAGATAGAGGGTTCAAAACTGGTGGGTATAAAGAAAAGAACAGAAATGGGTTTAGGGCAGGACCAACCCTAACGGGTTTAGGTTTCTTGTAGCCACTCTGCTGAGATGAAAGAAGGAGTGTGCAGGGGCTATGCTGACACAGAAAGGCGGTCACAGCAGGCTCAGTGGAGAAGGCACAGCTGTGGCCAAGCAGTGTCTGCCCGACAGCGTGTGCACAGCCAGGTCGTCTCTGGCCCCCAGAGTGTGGCTTCAGGGTTCTGGCCTGCCCATTAGTCCCAGACCTTCCCCATGAGAGTGATCCTGAAATGACTCTGGGCTCATTTAGAAGTCCTAGTGTGTGCCAAGGGGCTCGCCTCTGTTCACAGTGGAGCTAGGGCTCTTAGGGACGCCTGGCCTCCGGGAGCTTCAGCTGGCAGATCCGAGAAATTCACCAGTGGAGAATAAGTAGAAGAAAATTTAGCAACAGCTCCATGAAACTGTGAAGTGCACTGTAGGGCCCTGGTGGACTTCCAGGGCCCAGAGGCAGGCTGCACAGACAGGCATGTGTCCTGTCCATCTGGACCTCGGGGGCTGGGACAGAGTGGGTGCACAGGAGAAAGACCAAGGTTGAGCTGGTGTATAACATCCCCACAACAGAAGAAAGTGGTTGAGTCATGGTCAGCAGTTAGAGAATAGTGCTCTCTCTTCTTTGGCAGGAAAATGCTTGCCTTACCCCCTTACGGGCACCCAGACATGCCAGCTTGCGGTCCCTGGCACAGGGATGGCATCAGGGGTCTTTACCACTGTCCCAAACCGCTGACCCTGTGGCCTGTGCCTGCAGGGATCCATCCTGAGGGGCCCTTGGGAGCACCTGTCACAGGGGAGGGTTCCAGACGTTCTGCACACCAGCGGGGCTCACATTTCCGGCAGCCTCAGCGTTCCCATGAGAGAGGAGGCTGGGGTCTGGCCATGGGCTCCAGGGTCCTCCATGGTTTGGTGGACCCCGGGGTGGGGGGCTGTGAGCCGACTGGTAAGCAGGCTGCACTGTGATTAGTCTGTTTCATGTGTTTTCATTTCTGGCAAAATCAAGAGATTTAAAAAAACCTGGATCAAATGATCACTAGGGCTCCTTTGTACGCCATGGCAGCTGATGCCAAAATAGGCAAGCGCCCCAGACACTCATACTAACTGTTCCCTTCAGGACCTGACCTAGTTTTGGCCAAAAATCCGAGGACTGCAGTTCAGGAGCTGTGGGGCCTCCCAGGACTGTCCAGCTTGTCAGCAGCTGCCTCGAGTGAAGCTCTCTGGCCTTGGTGGAGAGAGTTAATCAGCACGAAGTCACTGACAATCTGTTCTGTGCCCAGCTAGGCCAGGCGCTGAAAGAGAAGAGGACTGAGCTTGCCCAGGAAGGCGCTTATCGTTTAACTGAAGAAATAAAATTAGCAGAGAGAACCTCATAACACAATAAAAGCAAAATATAACTTAAGTTCTGAAAAGGTCTGGAGTGATTCTTGGAAGGGGTGGGCCTTGCTCAGGGGCGGGACAGTCCCCCCACCCCCACCCCCAGCCACCTGGATGGGGAGGCGCATGAACCACGACCTGACCTGGTTCTGACAGGCCGGCTGGCCTGGCTGCTTCCCGCGTCGCCATGTTTCTCTGAGGGGCGTGTCCCCGAGCCCCTTGGGTTTCCAGCAGTGACAAGTTGCTCTTGGATGTGTTTTCAGATCCCCCGCCGCAGCCGCCGCAGCCTCCACCCCCTGCAGATGGAGTCCCTCCGCCTCCTGCTCCGGGCCCAGCAGCCTCGGCCGCGCCCTAGCCGGGGAGATGCAGGGAACATCCGTGCCCAGCACCGCCAGCTGGAGTGGGGATGGCAAGACGTCCTTGGGTTTCCTCCAGGACCTTTCTTCTCATGGCCCCAGCACGCCTCCTGTACCTCCCAGCCCTCTCACCACCCCCCGTACTCCGCACCTCTGTCAGGTCCTCCACAAACACTCAGAGGGAAGCCTGCAGGCACAGTGTGCCCTGGTCGTCCTAAGAATCACTGCACTGCATCTCCCGCCCGCCCACAGGCCCTGTCAGCATTAGCCTGCTGTGCCCTGTTTCTGCTGTCTTGAAGTTTCCCCCTTGTCTTACGCTTCTGGGGATAAATACCATAATCTTTCATTTTTGTGGGGTGGGAGTCATTACTGCTTTAAAGGAGAGCATTCTAAGTTAATAGGAACTAAGAAATGGTGGTGGGCAGAGGGACAGCCAGAGGGGACACACCATAGGCCTTCTAAGTGACCTCATTCTTAGCGGAGCTGAGAGTGGTGCTGATGACATTTCATAAGACCCGCCACACACGGGTGCACCGAAACTAACAGAGACAGAGAGAGGTGCCCCGTTGCTCTTACAACCCAAGGGAGGACTGCAGGCCTCCCTGCTGCCTGGCAGAACGAACCCCATTAGGACCTGGCAGGGGAGAGCATGGGCCCCCTGGGTCTGGTTTCCTATGCAGGTGGGTGTTTTGTTTCTCTGAGGTCTTGGATTTGGGGATGGACTCCTTGGTTCCCAAGACTAGCCAAGGACGTCTAGGGCAATGGCCACCGATGAATCCAGCCCACTGCTCACTGCTTTGTGTGTATTCTTTTTTCTTCCTCTTTAAAAAATATTCAAAATGAAAGAAAAAAAAAGGGTAGATAGTGTTAAACATTTCTTAGCTCGTTTTGGAACTTGGTTAGAATGGCTGGGGGTGCAGGTCCCCAAACTACCTCTTGCAGTAGCCAGGGTGAGTTGAGTCTGGTGAAGCGGTACCTTGGTTTGAGATGGGACTGGAGAAGTGGGGCTTCCCCGGGGAGAAGGGAAGCTGCCCCCTGCTTCTGAGATCTCACTCCAGCCACCACAGGGTTGTCAGGGAGGTGCACAGGCAGACGCACTCAGCAATCAGAGCGTCACATGTTAAGGGCTGGGGTGCCCAGACTGGGTGGGTTGGGGGGTCAGAATGCATTCCGGAAGAAGAGCCACGAAAATGCCTTAATTTGAGCCACTTCCTTTGCACCCCTGCTGATGAGTGGCAGAGAGTTCCTGGCTGCTGCTCTTGCCCTCCCCCCCCTCCCCCGTGGGTGGGGAAAGGTGTCCTTGTGGAGCCTGGCACTTCACACTCACAAGTGATGGTTTCTTTTAGGGTGCAGAGTGGGACACCTTTGGGTATCTTTCTATATATTCTATAAAGCTTTATTGGGGGGGGGTTGTAAAACACCTTAGAACTTTTTTCTTTAATATCAGCAAAAAAAATAAAAACCATAACTAAGATTTGCCTTTCAAACCCTCAGGAGTTACTTGTAACCAAGTGGCCTGGCCACCTCCAGGACCCTGAAACCAAGGAGACCTTGTCCTTTGTGTGTTTGCTCTGGACTCTTGGAGAAGAAACGAGCTGTTCCCATTACAGTTTAGTTCCAATGCATTTGCCTCCTAGAAAGACCCCAGCGCCTTTCGGTAGTGGCCAGGGTTTTCCTAGTTCCCATCAGCCTTGGCAAAAAAGAGACTCATTCCCGAACACTTACCTTCCTCCCCGGGGTCTTAGAAGGACATGGAATTCTGGTTCATACTGTGGTCCCTCGTAACCTCAGGTCTTTAAAGTGATCACTTAAAAATTTAAAAGGTCCAGGTGGAAATATTTTTACTATGCTGGTAATGATTCTACAGAATACCCGAATTCTTAACACTGTTACATTTCAGAACAAGTGGCAACTTTTTCTTTTCATGTTTTACATCTGGTTTTGTTTTTGTAATACAGCCACCCAATTTTGTGAGGGGCTAATAATATGTGGTTTTTGTACAAACGTTTCTCATGTTATTTTGGAAAAATGGAGTTTGGGGAGATGGGAGGAAATTGATGAAGAAGGCCTGGTCTCCCTCCTTTTCAGTGAATAAATGAAACATCTTTCCTGGATTCTAGTCCCATTTCTGCATTCGTACACCAGTCTGCTCACCTGTTCTGGAAAGGGCCTAAATGTGCAGCTGCACCTGGTCCTGGTCAGCAGTTACTCGGGGCTTCCTGGAGGACTGGCCACCTTCACAACGTGTCTGTGGATCATGCCTTACCTCTGATCTATTTCCAGCACAAAGAAAGGAGTTGTCCGGAGAGGGTGGCCGGCATCCAGACACCTCACGAGATGATGATGTTTGGTGAGCTAGAGAGTGTTTCAGGATGCAGTTCAGACAGCCCCAAGCTAAAGGCGGGCCTTGAGGAGAGATGGTTCAGGAAGTACACGTAAGGACAGGCATTGCGCTCCCAGGTGCAGACGCCGTGCAGAGGGCCATTGCCTTGGGGTGCGCAGGACCCGGTGCAGGACAGGAGGTGGGTCTGCTTGCCCTGCGGGGGAGTTGCCCTCACACAAGTGAGCTGGGCTTCTGTGCACTGCGACCTGCTCCGGCTCTTCCCTCCAGTGAAGTGCAGGAGCGGCCGGGGTTCCCGTCCCAAGGATTCCTGTGCCCAGGGGTGAAGAGGAGTCAATCTCTGATCCGAACTCACCAAAGACCGGTTAATAAACGTATGGATTCTTCTTGGAGCAAAAGAGGACATGACGACCGACCAGGCTTCCACGGGTCCCTCAGAGCCTTAGAGCGGCTCCCCCAAATGCATTAAGCACAGCACTTTCCAACTAGAGCACAGGTCAGGATCATCCCCCAGGACTGTTCGCATACAACCCTCTGAGTTGATCCAGTGGGTCTGGGTTGAGTTCTTAAAGTGTGTTTTTAGCAGATTCAGGGCGTCCTGGTGTATCTGGTCGGGGGGCCACACCCTTGGAGCACCACTGGTTGAGAAAGTCATATGGCACAACAGCAAGATGTCTGCGGTTCTGGCGGTTCCATCATTCCAGTAAGTACTGGAGGGCCTACTGCGTGCTGAGCGTTTGCCCTTGCATGAGATGAAGCCGTAATTAGGGATGAGGTAGGCAAGACCTCTGAACTCCAGGCCACTGACATTGTGGGGTGGGGGATGCCAGAACATAAGTAGGCAACAAATAGGATTGTTTCAGAGTGCCACATGGGATGAAAAAGCAGCAGTGTAATCAGGAGCTTCCTGGGGGGGCGGCATGTGCAGTATGAAAAGGACGTTCTTCCATGATTTCCATCGTGATGTTTGTGGTGACCTGAGGTTTCAGGAAACTGAATCATCAGCCTCTCCTGGGGACACATGCCAGTCCTGAGAAAACCTCCTCTCCCTCGACCCATGACTTTAACATTAAGCCCTCCTCTGTTCCCAGAGCGTGGCTGTCCAGGTGCTCCTGGTGGAGGGCCATCTTCCCCGGACACTGGTGGCCTGGGTCCTGTCAATGCATTCTCCCCATCTGAGGCGAGCATCCTTCAGGATGGGGAGCCCAGGTACCTCCTCAGAGGAAGTTGGCATTGCCCACCTTCAGGCCCAGGACCCTTAGGGTTGGGTCTCTGTTAACACCCCCCCCCCCAAGAACTCTGTTCCCCTGTGGCTCATGTTTAGGCCTGCTGCCGCTCTTGTTAGGAAGCACCTTTGAGCCCATCGTCCCTGAAACAACAGACCAGACTGCCCCACCCAAAGGGTGTGGTGAATCAGCCTTTTAGGTTCCGAAACTGTTTGGAGCCAGCAGCTCTGGGACCACCCCACCCTTTTCTGACCCTCATGGGGCTGTGGCGGGGAGCCTTGTCTGGGCCCCTCCTTGCTCCTAGCCGGCCATCCTTCCTCTCTACTGCCTGCAGAGGCCTTTCCAGGCTCGCCCAAACCATGGAGAGGAGCCAAGTGACCCACTGGCAGCTGCCTTAGCACCACCTACCTTTAGGGTGCAGCACTTGCAGGTCTCAGCACAACAGCCAAGCCTGGATACAGAGCAGACACCACCTCCGGACAGCCAAGACAAATCCTCTCGCTCTGGTTCTGTAGCAGTCTGCCACCTACGGTGTCCTGGCCACCAAGTCTAGGAGGGGTTAGGAAGCCGTGTGGCGCTTAGGTGGTAAGCCCTGTGCACAGGCTGACAGGCTGTGACGGATTTGGCCCGGGGTCTTGCCGATCTCCCACGGCCATCCAAACTGGCATTCCTTGTCCCACTCTGCCCATTCTTCAGTAGCCCTGGAAGCAGCAGGACTCGGGCCATTGACCTAGTTGCTCCACACCTGAGGCCGACTGTTGGCTTCTGCAGTGTGGCTTTGTCCCTGCTGACTTGGCTTCGGGTCATGAAATCCAGGGACCTTTCCAATCTTGTGGCAGATCCACTGCCCACACAAGGTAACAGTCTCCAGATCATGAAGACTTTTTCTAGGGTGAGAGCTCTTGTGGAACAGACTAGAGCTCCCCATGGTGAGGAGATGGTGGTCGGCACAAAGGACTCAGGACACCCCTTGGCTCTCCCCTTCTTCCTGATAACATGCAAGAAGGTGCATTTCCCAGCATCCGTCACCAAAAACGGTCACTGCTGACAGACTGCCCTGCAGCCCAGGCTGTCTACTCAGCACTGGCAGGAGAGAGGCTGTGCTACATGCTTTCTGACAGATGGGAGGACAGGAGTCCGGACTCAACTGCTGCGTAGCCTTCTTTCACGAGCTCGTAGCATGGATTCATTGACTCAAATGCACAGGTGGAAGTGGGGCTTTGTGGGGATAGCGAGGGCTTCAGTTTTGCCAAGTGAGGCCCCACCTGTACACACTGATTCCTCTTCTGAAATTGAGAAGCTGAAATGGAAAGGTTTGAAATCAAGATCCTCTCACCACTTAATTAGCACGGTCTGTGTCACTGCAAATTTGGAGAATTTGTAGATACTTGTAGTATGGTTGTGAAGCATAAGGCAAACTAGATGGAGCACTAGGAAAACTCGAAACTCACCAAACGCTAGTGGTCACTACTGAGGAAAGCCAGGCCCCTGCTGCTTCCTGAAGTGTCCCCCTAGCCATGAGAGCCGGAGCAGTTCCTGCCCCGGACAGCAGCCCCCTGCTCACCCAGAGGCTGTGCCTGGGATGCAGGCTGCAGCCACGGGAATGTGCGTCGTGCTGGAGGCAGGCTGCCAAACCCGGCAGGAACCTTTGAGGCATGCAGAAGCCCTTGCCTCCCCAAGCTTCCTGGGGCCCAGCTGCACCAGACATGACTGTGGGGATATGGGTGTGTACTCTGACGGAGGTCAATGTCCTTCTGTCCAGTTCCCATATCTATCTGCCCCTCCTGAGCCTACCCCAGCCCTTGTGCCCAGAAAAAGTATTGCATTCACTTTACACTGTGGTCACCACTTTCGTAAGTCCGAACCTCAGATTACTCAGTCTCCCTGGTCACACACAGCTGAGGCCAAATCCTGCTCCTTCATGACACTCCACTACCTAGGCGAGCTGCTCCCACCCTGTGAAGATGCCACCCGGTCAGCTTGTGCTGTGCTCACGCCTGAAACCGCGGACAAGGTCTGTCAGGGAGAATGGGGTGAACCTGAATGGCCCAGATTAAACCCAGGAGGACGGAAGTGGTACCAGAGTTTGTCATGCCATATGCTTGCTGTACTTAATTCAAAAATTGAGCTTAAAAGAATGTGGGTATTTGACAAAATATATCAAGGTGAGAAACCAGTTGACATAGGTGATTTAAAAGGTGGGAGAGGGCCTCATCCAGACCTTTCCTGTGAAAGACCCAGGGGTGGTCGTCCTGCCCTCAACGTCCGAGGCCCACCCGTGCCCCTCCTTCCCCCCCGACTGGCGGACGGTGGAGGTAGGCACGTCACCAGCACCGTTCCCTGCCCGCCGCCGCCCGGGGTCAGGGAGACTCAGGCCTGGGAAGCTCCCCGGGGCCGCTGCCGGCCCTCTGCTCAGAGCAGCTGCCCCTGCGGCTGGTGCAACCGCCCGCAGAGCCGCGCAGCCCGGGAAAGACGCAGGCATGTGCATGAGGCCGCGGCCGGGGCGGCCGGGCGCCGTGCCTCGGTGCCGTCCTGCGGCCCTGCAGTCCCGGGGATCGCGGTGGGCACGACGAGACGGGGCCGAGAGGGTCTCGGCGCTCGGGCAGCCTGAGGGGCCTCGGGGGCCGGCCCTGGCCTGGCGGGCAGCCCCGCAGGCGGGCCCGCGCTCCTCCCGCTCACCCTGGAGCGCCCTAAGGCAGCACCTCAAACGCCCAGAGGCCGCGTCTCCTGGGGCTGCGGCCCCCGGTGCGGCCATGCGGGCCAGTAACAGATCAGGCCGTAGACAGGCGCTTCGGTGGCAACGTGCGTGCCGCGCCGCGACTCGCCAGCGGGCCGGGGACGCGCGCGGGAGGGCGGGGTGCCCCCGGGCGCGGACGAGGGACCGTTGCGCTGCGGGGACCCAGGGCACGTGGGCCGCCGCGGGCGCCGGAAGGGAGGCGTTGCCGCAGCGCGGATTAGCTCCGAGCGGATCAGAGCCGCCGCCGCCCCTCCCGCGCTGCACCTGCCGCGGCGGCCCCCGAGGGCGGGTCCGCGCGCCGCGCCCGCACCCCTCGCAGCCGGGCCCTCGCGCCCCAGGTCTGCGCCCCCGAGGGCGAGTCCGCGCGCCCCTCGCCGGCCGGCCGGCGTCAGCGCGCGGGGCGGGGCGGCGCGGGGCGGAGCGGAGAGCGGAGAGCGGGGCGGGGGGCGGCGGGCGCGAGGCGGCGGCATGCGGCTGCCCGCACTGCCGGTGGCGGGCTGACTCGGCCGCAGCGCGGGCCGAGGGCGCAGCCAGCCGTGCAGACCGCGGCCGGCGGCCGGGGCGCCGCGCCATGGGCCGAGCGGGGGCCGGGGACTCAGGCCGCGGGCCGCCGCCGGCGCTGCTGCTTCTGGGGGCCGCGCTGGTGCTCGCCGCGGGAGCTGCGCCGGGTAGGTACTGACCGCATCGCCGCGGCCGGGGTCCCGCGGGCCTCGGTGCCGGCGGCGTCGGCGGGCTGCGGCCGGGGCCGGGGAGGGGACGCGCCAGAAGGTGCAGGCCTCGGGAGGCCGCTGTGGGGGGCGCCCGGGCCCCGGGGCTGCGGAAGCAGGTGCCGGCTGGGGGAGGGGCCTAGGGGCGGGGCCTGGAGTTGTTGGGGGTCTGGGGGCGGGGCCTGCCGGAGGAGAGGTTGAGTGGGCGGGGCCTGGAAGTAATGGGGACCCGGAGGATGGCGGGGGTTCGAGGGATGATGGGTGTCTTCAGGGCGCGAGTTTAGGGCGGGACCTGCAGGTGATGGGAGGTCTGGAGGCGATGGCGGGCCTCAGGGAATGGGGGCTGGTGGTGGGGCTGGGCCCGGGTGGGCGGGGCCTGGAAGTGGTAGGGATCCTGAGGGTGGTGGGGGAGCTGGGGGTGACGGTGGTCCTAAGGGCGCGAGTTCAGGGCGGCTCGTGCCGGTGGTGGGAAGCCTGGAGATGAAGGAGGGCCCCAGGGCAGGGTTCCCCTGGTGGGCGGGGCCTGGTGGTGGAGGGTGAGTGGGCGGGGCCTGGAGGGCGGGGCTTAGCGGTGACGGCGGTGCTCCTAAGGGCGGGAGTTCAGTGCGGACCCGCGGCTGATGGGGGCCTAGAGGTGAGGGGTTTTGGGGTGATGGGGTCTCGAGGGTGGTTGGACCTGAGGGTGGTGGGGGTGCCTGAGGGGGGCCGGGCGGTCTACGGGTAAAGCGGGAGCGGCCGGTGCAGGAGGGCCTGAGGGAGCTGGGGGCGCCTTGAGGAGCTGGGGCCTGGGTGTCGGGAGAGGCCTGGGGGTGCTGCGGGCGCCTGAGGTCGCTAGTTCGGGGCGGGACCCTTGAGACGAAGGCGACCCGATGGGGGCGGGGCCGGGCTGCGCCGCCCTGACGCCCGCGCTCCGTCTCGCCCACAGCGCCCGGGGCGGGCGAGGCCGTGAGGAGCGTCGCGGCGCGGGAGCCGCGGGCCAACAGCACTCGGACGGAGGCCGGCCGGGCCGCGGGGGAGGCCGAGGCCTCGAGGGCCTCGCAGGGCGGCGAGCAGCGCGCGGTGGTGGGTCCCGCGGCGCGGCCGGACGCCGACGGCCCGGGCACGGGCGCAGGAGCCGCGGAGGCGGGCAGCGGCGACCCCCAGGCCCTCGCGGCCACGCGCCCGGCGCCCGTCGAGGCCCCTGGGCCGTCCGCGGTGCCGCCCGCCGCCTCGGCGCCCCCGGAGCCCCGCCCCGCGCCCGAGGTCCTGGCCCTCGACTACCTCGAAGGACTGGATGGCGGGGGCCTCCCGGGGCCGCCGGAGGCCGCGGAGCCCCTCCCCGACGCGGGGGCCGAGGCGCCGTCGTGGAGCCTGCTGGACCTGTACGACGACTTCACCCCCTTCGACGAGTCCGACTTCTACCCCACCACGTCCTTCTACGACGACCTGGAGGAGGAGGGCGGCGACGCGGGCCGGCACGTGGCGGGGGGCGGGGGCCCCGACGGGCACGGCGACCCTGGGGAGCCCGCCGGCCGGTGGCGCCCCGTCCCTCCGCAGCGCCCCGCAGAGCCAGCCGCCGGCGAGAACGGCACCGAGTGCCGCAGCGGCTTCGTGCGCCACAACGGCTCCTGCCGCTCGCTGTGCGACCTCTTCCCGAGCTACTGCCACAACGGCGGCCAGTGCTACCTGGTGGAGCACGTCGGGGCCTTCTGCAGGTGCGGCCCGTGGTGGGCAGGGGCACCGGCGCCCGGGGAGACCTGACGAGGGAGTGGGGGGGGCTCGGCCGAGAGGGGCGCAGGCGGGGTGCGCGCGGGGCCCCTCCGGGCCTCCTGCAGGTGCGTCCCCAGCAGACTCTTGTGACCACATCGCTAGCGGGGGCCCCTCAGAAGTGGGACTGTGCGCCCCCTCTAGGCGCCAGGCCCGTGACCAAAGCGCCGAACTGAAAGGCCGACGAGGGCACTTGCTGCGGCCTTTGGAGAGGGGCCTTTGCCACCCCCAGGGGTCTCGGCCGGGGAGCTCTGGCTGTGCTGGCACGGAGAGCGGGCTGGGAAACCCGCTCCGAAGGACGGTAGCTGCGAGAGTGGCTCTGAGCCCTGTGTGGCCGGGGAGGGCGTGTCCTCTGCAGGGCACGGAAGGCCGGGGAGGACCTTGCCAGGGGAGCAGATCCGGAGAGCAGCTGCGCAGGGAGGGGAGCTCAAGGGGCTCTGGCACAACAGGTGGGGCAGGGTTTCTCAGCTCTGGGTACTGACCTGCCCCTTCTGCCTTCCTGCCTTCCTTGGGATGCCCAGTCTAGGATGTCTTAAAGACGCAGAGCTGAGTGTCCTTATGGACACCGCAGCCACCATCCCAGCCCCATCAGTAGTGCACCTGCCCTCGATGTGGTGAGCCTGCTGGGCGGCTCGCCTGCCTCTCCTGGGGCATCAACAGTCAGGGGCGATCTGGCTGGTATGTTTGTCTCCACCCTAAAAGGACCAACAAGGGGGAGCCTCGGGTTCCCCTGGAACTTGTGTCCCTGGGTCCCAGGAGCATGTCTCTGTCTCTTTCTTGTTTCTTTTGTTGGTCTTTTTGGAGAGAGGTGAAGAATTCAAATGTTGTAGGTCTTTCTGTTCTAATAAAATAACGTAGAAAGCAAGCATGGATGCTGTGCCTTCGGCCTTAGCATTTGCGTTCCAGTCCCTTCCTCTGAAGCTCCTATAAATGATCACGACAGCAGGGTCACCCACGTAAGACATGTCCACACAGTTCTCACCGGAGGTGTCCAGGCATTGCCAGAAGGAAGAACTGTGATCAGGAATTTATGGCAACAAGGCCTTGCCAGTTGGTGAAGGGCTACCAAAAATATGGGGACACCCTATGATTTTGTTCCTCAAACTTTGCTTGGGGAGCTACAGGGTTATTTTAGCCTGGGTCTTACGAAATCTCTGTGCAAAATTGTTATCTTTCCTCCTGAGACTTCACCTTCACAGTAGGCTCCCCGTCAGGGTATGAAATTCAGAGTCCTTGCCGCCGCTGGGGAGCTAGACGAGGTCCCCGGATCTCCTGGAGCCCCCAGGGCTTCCTTAGTGGAAGAGCAGGAGCCCGTCCTCACCGAGCCGCGCGGCTGCGCTGGCCTCGGGTCCACCGGCGGGCCCCGCCTCAGAAGGGCTTCCATCCCAGGCGCCCTCCTGGTCCTCCCGGACGGGCTTCCCCCCCCCGGCTGTGTGCGCCCAGGCGGCCACGGCTCGGAAGCTGACCCCCGTTCCGCTCACCCGAGGCCACCGGCCCAGCTGCTGACCGCAGCACCACTGCTTTGGCCTCTGCCACCCTGACCCACTGCGGGGTGGGCAGCGCTGTGGCCGACCTCTCTGGAGTTGGTCGGAGGGATCCTCTTTTCCCACCGTCCTCGAACAGATGACCCCCCGCGACTGGCTGCCAGCCCCGCCTCGCCGCCCCTCCCTCCTGGGTGTGCGGCAGCCCGTCCTCTGACGCGTGATTTCCCCGTTCCTTCTCTGTCCTGCGCCCTGAGGCCCGCGTCCTCCCGCCTCTGCCTGCCTCTGTATCCTTCCGCATCTTTCCTTTTAGAAGCAGCCTGGTTCCCATGGAAACAGCAATGTCATTGGAAGAGTTGGAGCTTGGGAATGTCCCCAAGGGCATGAGAAAGTCACCCAACCAAAGACCTGACACCCACCCCGAGGGCCGATTCTCACTATGCTTTCAGGAAGCTTTAGGGGCGGGACTTGGGGCTGCAGAGATACAGGAACGTGCGTCCGTCCTTGTCCTTGCCTGTCCTTATTTCCACTGTCCGCCCGGCCATGTGAATGGGGGGAATGCAGGGTAAGACGGGCTTTCGCGCGCAGGGCGGATACCACTGCTTGGTGTCCTTGTTCATCTTTTCCTTCAGCCGGAGCCCACGGTGGGGTCCCTGAGAATCGTGTGACTGGCCTCACTGAGCTGTGAGGTGGAGACCAGGGTCCCCTTTCCTCCGAGCTCACTCAGTCACAGGGATGGCCAGCGCCCCCACTTTTCTGCATCCTGACTGCCTCCTGTAGGCGTGGACCTCAGGGCTGCCTGGCCCATGTCAGGGCATGGCTAGAAAGACAAGACAGGGCAGGGGTCAGCTCTGAGGTCTGCACAGACTGGGGGCAGCCGGGCTCCTCGAGCGGTCCTAGGAATATGCTGCCGGGGTACACGCGGGCTCAGCGCCAGGCCACGGCCACAGCGCCTGCCCCTCATGGCAGTCTCGCCCTGTCGCTGCCGCAGGTGCAACACCCAGGACTACATCTGGCACAAGGGGATGCGCTGCGAGTCCATCATCACCGACTTCCAGGTGATGTGCGTGGCCGTGGGCTCAGCCGCCCTCGTACTGCTGCTGCTTTTCATGATGACCGTGTTCTTCGCCAAGAAGCTCTATCTGCTCAGGACGGAGAATACCAAGCTGCGCAGGGCCAAGTGAGTGTGCGCAGCAGCCCCATCCCGTGCCTGCGGGGTGCCCTCTGTCTCATCCAGGGGTGTTCCCTTGGTTTCTGGCACCTGCTTTCCAACCCTAGATGTGTTTTTCAGGCCCCAGAGTCCCCAGGCTTACCCATTCCCAAACAGAATGTGCTGGAACTGCAGCAGAGACTGAGTCCCTGGGGCACACTGCAGCTGTCCAGCCCCACCCCGAACACCCCCACCCAGGGTAGAGGTGCAGAGAGAAAAGGCAGCCAGTCCACAGCAGCGCCCGGCCGCGGTCCCCAAGGGGGGTTCCTGTGTTCAGTCCCCAACCCCAACTGCACCTGCTGCCCCGTCTTTGACAGCCAGTTGGCCAGAGCGAGGATTTTGCTCGCAGAGCAGCGCGAAGTGACTCTTAGCCTCAAAGCTGCTGTCACTCCAGCTCTTCTCAGTGAGGGCTGAGGAGAAAGGGTGCAGAGCTGCAGCTCACTGCCCTTCAGAACCCGGTGACTCTTGGTCTGCACACAAGTGCAAGGAACTTACGGAAAGTCTTAACTCTCCTCAGTAGAATTTGGCGGGTGGAAGGGCCTGCCTGGGCTGACCTGCCTCTACTGCGGATCTTAGGAGCCACGTGCGGATGCAGTCTTACTTCAGCTCCTCTCTCAGCAGAGTGACGGCTGTGTGCGTGTGAGAATCAACACGCACTTATCCTTTAAGCCTTGGGCACACAAATGTGACCTTACACACTCTGGTCACTAAGTGAAGTAAAGAACCTTCTGAGGTATCACGGGTCACAAGGGAGATTGGAGATCAGCTTCCTCGGGGCCCAAGAGACAATTTATGCCCAGCTTCCCACCTCCCTCCCTTTCAACCTGTCGCCTCTTCATCCCCTCCCCCTGACCCTGAGACTTCCTGTGGACTTGCCCTGGGTCCTGGGAAAAGGACAAAACGCCATCTGTTGCTGCTTTGCTGAGTAAACCCAGCAGATGCCAGCAGCTCTCTGCAGCCTGTAGCAGATGGGTGTGGGGCTGGGAGGGCCTCTCCATTGTGCCTGTGCACTGAGGCGGGCGTTACCCATGCGTGTGATCAGAAGCCAGGACCCCTGGCTGCTCAGCCCACACTGAGGGTGTGTGTGTTGGGGGCAGGGAAGGCGGGGGGACCAACTGGCAGGGCCACTGCAGACGAGGCTGGGAGGCAAGGAGCAGGTGCAGTGGGGGTGGGAGCCACCTCGGGGAGAGCGCCCACCCAGTGCCCTCCCCGGGGGACTGTGCTCCGCGGCATGCAGCCCGTGCCATCACCTTTGTCTGCCTGTGCACACCCCCCTCCCCGAGCCTGTCGCTGCTCCGTACTGTCCGATGCACTGCAGACACTGCTGCCACTCACTGACTCTGAGAGATGCTTCCTTTCACATACCGACGTGTCGGAAATCAGACTGTCTTTCAGCCACTGGCACATTGAAATCACTGTTGGCCAGATGGCAGCTCTGGGGTAGTTGTGATTCTCAGGCCATAGCTTTTGATATTGTTGTCAGTTCTCTAGCTAAAGTCTACGTGGGGTACTTCAAGTATGTAGTGAGAACTCTAGATAAGAAAGTATTAGATCATGGTTTAAATGGTAGAAGTGTTTTTCTTGGTCATATTTCAAATAATGATGCCTCTTATTACAGTCTGTGCCATTTGATGAACTCTGTATTTGACCCGTGAGACTTCTGTCGGATTCTGCCATGATCATTTCACTTACATATCATCTTCTGTCTTCCACCCTAACCAGCAAATTCCGGACCCCGTCGGAGCCCCACAACGATGACTTCTCCCTCTCCACCATTGCCGAGGGCTCTCACCCAAACGTAAGGAAGCCGCGGCTCCCGCCACCTCCACCTGCCGCCCGTGCCCGGCCCCCGCATAGGTCACCTGTCAGGCGGCCGCCTCCTCCCCTCCCCTCGCACGCGCCAGCTGCTGCCCGCGGAGCCGCTCAGAGGTCTGGAGAGGCGCCCAGTGCAGTCAGTCACGGACGGGAAGGTTGGAATAAGGACTTGGTGCGTGATTTCTTAGACAAGCAGAGTTACAGGCAGTATAGAAGATCTTTTAATGGGTGACTCGTGCTGTTTCGCTGCATCGAGACTTAGGAGTCGGGTTTTTGTCCTACCTTCTGTATGGAGGGGAAAGCTCTGCTTTCTTTGGTAAGGAATTTCCTGATGGTCACTGAAGCAAACGGTAGTTGCTCTTTGAGGTGAGTGGGGAAACCTGTAGGATGGCTGGAAAAATAGTGTCCTTGACACTGATTGAGGACCCTAAGAACAGGCAGGCCTGCACACCCTGGTCAGGGCTGAGGTGGGCACACAGTGCTGGTGGGACCATACAATGGGTGAATTCTGTTCTTAGGAATATGGGCTCAGAAATGTCAGTTGAAACTTAATAAAAGGTCCCAATAGACCATTTTATAAAGACCCTGGACCAGACAACCAGTAAGATGCTGGGTACTGTCAGAATTTCAGAAATTAAACAGAAAGTATACAAACCGCAAACCATGTCACATCCAAAAGCAAGAAATCCGTGCGTGGCGCGGCCTCTGTGCCGTGGAGGACGTGTCCTTACACAGACCAGGGAGCGAACTGAGCGTCTCCGATGGAGAAAGCAGAGCCAGAGAGGGGACACTGAAGAGGTTCTCTGGGACCGCGGCCCGCAGGGTATCGGCATTCACGGGGCCGCGACAGTCCAGGCCGTCCGGAGGGCCACGTCTGCCTACACCTGATGCCATTGTGCCCCCGCCAGGTGCTGGTGCTCCCGTCCTGGGCAGCGCAGGTCCGGGCCTTTCTCTCCTGGAGATGAAGGAAATGCAGCCCCGTAAGGGGAAAGAGAATATTAGCAAGTGAGCCTGTTCAGCACATGCCAGGAAAGAGCAGCTTGACCTACTGGAAGAGGAGCAAAAGGGTCATGTGAATAAGAAGTGAAAGAGGGCACTTTCGGGTGATTTTTTAGTCTTTGATACAAAGGGTTGAAAAAGAAGAGATAGTATTTAACTTGTTATGCTCCAAGGCATTAATATGTTCAAGGTGGACATGATAACGAAGGACACAAGGCGTCCTATAAGCTTCCAGGGCGATAACCATGTCAGTCAGCCCACAGGAACTCAGGCAGACAGGTCTTGCAGCCCCGCTTTGTGGGAAGCGAGTCTTTGTGTGAAGGCTCTGCTGACGAGAGTTCAGAACGTGGCCGGCCTTGGAAACGGAGCAGAGCAGGGCCGGTGAGCCGTGGAGGACATGCCTGAGGGCCCCGGGCCATCCACGCAGGGCGCACGCACCCTCAGTGGGGGGCGGGACGTGGCTCCAGTGGTCTCGTTCCTCTTGGGCCCCCTTAGCTCCTGCCTCAGGGACCCTGTCCTCTGCCAGCGCTTTGAGCACGTGGGAGTGGCCATCCTGCCCAGGGGGCAGTCTGCCAGCAGGTTTTCTGCCTCGTCTAACTCCCCGTCTGGCCCAAAAGTCAGACTTGGTCCTAACAGGGAGGCGCAGGTGCGGGTGAGGGTCAGAGGTTATGGTTAGAGTGAGGGTGAGGCTTAGAGTTCAGGTGAGGGTGAGCCTCTGGCCGGGCTTAGAGTGAGGTTTAGCATTCAGGGTTAGGGTTTGGGTAATGGTTAGAGGAGCAGGGGGATGGAGGTCAGGGTGAGTGTTCGGGTTAGGGTTAGGGACAGGATTGGGGTTAGGGCTTGGGATTAGGGTTGAGGTGAGGGTCAAGTTCAGCTGTCAGCTGACAGTGATCTGTGGGTGAGGGTGCTAGTCGGGGTTGGGGGAGCCAGAAGCAAAACGGGGCCCTCCAGGCAGTCCTGCTTGTTTACCTCTCTCCGGCCCTCTCCCTCCACCCCTCAAATTGCCTTGTTCGTATTGGTGTCTCCTAAAATTTTGGAGCATTCTGTTTTATCTTAATAGAAGTATTATTTCTCTTACATCAGTAAAGTAGACTGAGTTGGGCATTTTCCTGCCCAGTTCCAATGCTCCAAAGACCTCAAACAAAAACATGTGCCACTCTGGGTGTGTCATGGGGGAAGGCCAGGCGCCAGGCTCTGCCCGTTGCTCCTCACCGCACCCTCCCGGGCTCAGGAGTGCCCTGCAGCTGGCGAGCCAGCTGCCTGGCGTGTTAATCTCCTGTAGCGGAGCACGCAGCCCGGAGAGGATCAGCGGTATTAGAGGGAAAGGCCTGGGCTCCTCAGCCCCTCGTGTGGTTTGCGAGTTTTCCTTGACGAAAGGTGAGTTTGCAGGAGACTGGACACTTGCCAGCACACGGCAGTCATTTAATTTCAGTAAAAGTACCTGAAACCCACAGGTACACCACCCAAGACTGAGGGCCGCCCGGTCAGTGGGAGACCGTGGCTCATGTAGCCGTCCTCAGGCTCAACAGCACCCCAAGGGCTTCAGGTTTCTACCGGGCCTCCTCCGTCACGTCCCTTAGTGTTCTGTGCCCCATTTAAATCTTTCTACTTTCCAGACTGGTTTCTTTGATGTATTTGGTAAAGCCCCCCTCTGACAGGGTGTATGTTTGGACACCTCGGGGGTGCAGGCCTTGAACCCACCCTCCCCCTGGGCTGAAGGGTGCCTTTATGGCTGGGGTGGGATGCCGAGTGGTGGGGCTCCCAGGACTGAAGCCAGGTGGAGGTCCAGCTGCCTCATGACAGACTTCCACCAGATCAAAGGCAGATGGGCTTTCTGCCAAGGGACTCAGCCACCCTGGGAGTCATAGGATCCTGTTCTGCGGGAAATAGTAGGTGAGGGTAGTTCCGTCTTGGTTTAGAAACTCTGTTGTGCGTTCTGCCTGTTGAAGGCACTTAGCTTGTCTGATAGTGTTTGGACACTGAATCCTTGATTTTATAATATACTTCTCCCAGCCATTGGTCCAAAGGGCAGTTTTCTCATCTGTCCAAGTCCCATGAGTCCTCAGGGGATCAGGTTTTAATTTGCCGCCCCCACCCCATAGTATCACAGCTTTGATGCCCAGGCGTATAAGGACTCAGCAGATCCACTTTTCTTCACATTATGAGGCTGTCCCTGGGCCCCTGTGTGCCCCCAGAGAGTGTGACATGTCCGAGGCTGGGACAATCTAGGAAAACATGAAAGTGAGCTCCACCTGCGTAAGAGGGCAGCCAAGTCTAGGCCATCCTGTCTTGTTCCAGGTTTTGCTGTGATCCAAAGCCCACTTGATGGAGGATCTTTAATGTCCCAACTCTCAGGCTTCCAAGCCCAGCGCCTTCCACCAGACAGTTTAAAAGTATACAGAATGGAAGTGCAGTTCCACCTCATCCCCCTGCCTCTCCATGAAGCCCGAGTGTGTGTGTGTGTGTGTGTGTGTGTGTGTGTGTATACTTACTATAGCGTGGAGTTTTTCCATCTAAGCACGTATGGATTTACATCATTGAAAAGGTTTTTCTGAATCTCTCAAGCAGTGATAGGAAATACCAAGTGCCCGTGGGCAGTGTGCCTGCGGCCTTGCCTGAATCTCCTCGACGCCATAGACCCTCCTCTTGTTCTAGTCTCCTGGAAAGGGACGTGTGTCCCCCTTGCTGTCTGCCCCTGAGGTCTTGCTGACACTGGTCTTCTGGGAGAGCACAGAGGCGGTGAGAGTGATCTCACACGCGCAGTGCTTCAGGCGCCCCGAGTACTCAGAGGAGGCCCCAGCCTTTCCCCACTCCCTTTCCACCAATCCACGCCGTGTCTTGCTGCTGGTAGGGGCCAGACTCAGTTAGCAGCCAGCGTGGCGACCAGCTTGCCAGTTTTATGGAGAATGTGGGTCCTCGAGCGTGATGATCACCTCGAGTTTTGAAAGTGGTTGAAACAAGAGAGGTCTGAGCTGGCCAGTCAGAGAGACACACCGTCTGCCCTCCCCTCGCCCGTGAGCCTGCCTGGGTGGCCACACCGCCTCTCGGGTCAGCAGAGCTCCAGGCACTCTCAGTAGTAGTCGGGGCAGCGGGGAAGGAGTGGAGGCTGCTGCACCACGTGGGCTCAGTCCCCTCGGACGGTCCTGGAGGAAAAGCGTGGGCGGAGGGCAGAGGTTGGCATAAGCCTCTGAATGCCCGAACATGGGATTGGAGGACCGGGCGCTGCTGTGGGTTTCCTGAAAACCTCTGACAGGCAAAATAAACTAAAGCCCAGGAGCTTGTCATAGGACTGCAGGCAGACGGGGCCCAGGGCGCACCCTAGAGGATGGGAGGCAGCAGGGCGACCACCGCGGCCGGGCCCACCCAGGCTCGGATAGGGCAAACACGGCGTGTTAGCATCTCCTGGTAGAGGAACTTCTGACAGGAAGGGGCTCCCATCTCTCTGGCCTCTAGTCAGAGGACGTGTATTTGCCATGGGGAGAGGAGCCCTTGCTTTACCAGGAGCAGCTCTGCACCGGACCATCGACCTCTTTGTGCACCGTTGCAAACATGCGCATAGTCCCTGACCAGGACCCTGTGAGAGCAGAACTCAGCAGGATGGGGGCCGTGGGGAGAGGGGCCCGGCGGCCGAGACGAGCTCATCTGCCAGGGCGGCTGCAGCGGGGGCAGGCCGCGTACTCGATGGTGTGTGTCTCTCCTGCCGCTGCCAGAGAGAGGCCCTCGGGCTGGCTGATGGTGCAGGTATTGGTAATCCAGTAGCCCGTCAAGTTTTCATCTATGGCCGGTGTTTTTGAGGATGACTTTCCTAAAATGCGGCTGCTAGAGAGTCACTTTGGTCTGTCCAAGTCTTGGGGCTCCCTTCCGCCTTCCAGCGACGCCTCTTGCGGCCGAGACTGTTACGTGACCCCTCCACCCGCTGTCTCCTACCCGCCTCTCTCTTACCTTTTCTCCTCTTCCAGGACGATCCTAGTGCTCTCCACAAAGTCCAGGAAACTCTCAAGTCCTGCCTGAAAGAGGAAGAGTCTTATAACATCCAGAACTCCGTGCCACCCAAGCTCGAGGGTGGCAAAGGCGACCAGGCTGACTTGGAGGTGAACTGTCTTCAGAATGACTTCACCTGAAGCAGAGCAAGAGGAGAGGACATGGGGGTGGGGGGCGGGGAAGGAACGTGGTCTCCCCTGTACAGAGTCCTTCTTCTGACGTCATGGCATGCTCTGATGTGTTTTGTACTGGAGGGTAAAACAGAATAAGCAAAGGGCCCGAGCAGAACTGCATCCGTCGGATTGCTTCGTCTGTGCATCTGTGCACTGCTTCTGCTGCTGTGATTTCTAAACCTATGCTGTTACTCAACTGACCTTTTTTTTTTGTATTTGACCCACCTTTTTTTGAAATACCAGTAAACAAAGTTCTTGAAATAAAACTTTTTAAAAAGCTCTTTTGGGAATGTCACTGTGTCCACTCCCTGCTCATTCTTGGTACTGTAAGATGGATCCGTACTTTCACTGAAGATGTGTATTTATACATGTTTGAAATTCCAGAAATGGCCTATGTGTTTGTCGGCTCAGCTGCCATCACAAAGCACCGCTGACTGGGGGGCTCATGCAACAGACATTTATGTTCTCAGTCTGGAGGCTGGAAGTCCAGGACCAAGTCGCCGGCAGGTGGTTTCTGGGGAGGGCTCGCTTCCTGGTTTGCAGACAACCGCCTGCTCGCGGGTCCCCGTGCAGCCCTCCTCGGTGCGTTGGGCAAAGAGAGGTCTCTGGGCTCTGTTCCCATTCTTATAAGGACACCAGTCCTGTTGGATTGGGGCCCCACCCTGATGACTTCATACAACCTCATTTACCTCTTTATAGGCCGTCTCTCTACCGTCACATTGGGTGTTAGGGCTGCAACATGTGACTTTGGGGACATGGTTCGCTAAGTTCATAAGTCTGTACCACCTTTATTAAGAATCATCTTTCCTTCTTTCATAAATATTTATTCAGCACTTAGCCAGACACTGTACTTGATGCCCAAAACTCTAGGTGAATAAGATAGACCTAACCTCAAGAAGTTAATGATAAACTTGAGAAACAGACTTAAAAACAAATAGTTGAAATACAGTGTGTCGATATCATAATAGAGGCTTCAAGGAAAGAGGTTTAAGCTGGACTTTGAAGCATAGGGGGGCATTTTTCAGGGTGATGCAAGGCAAGAGGATATTCGAGGCAGAGGGAGGCTTCTCCTGGGGAAGCTGAGCCGTGTGACGGGAGAGGGGCAGAGGGGGATCTCGGGGGACAAGGGTGGAAAAGGCATCTAGAACCGGGGGTGCCAGTGATCACGAGGCTGCCGCAAAGCCAGGTTTGCCCTCTAGCGAGACGCCTCTGGAGATAGTGGCAGAGGCGAGCAGAATGGGGACCACCACGGTCCAGGCGGTGGGCGAGGATGGAGCCAGGAGTCCAGAGAGCCAGAATCACTTGGATCCGGTGTGTGAGGGGGGGTGTCCCTAGCACTGTGCCTGTGTGAAGTCTGTGACAGTCCAGCAAGTGGAATCCCTATGCGTGTGTTTCTGTTACCAAATTTCTGCAGGTTCTGCCTGATGTGTCTTCTCATGTGCCTCCTAATTTTTTATTTTGTGCTGGACATTGCACCTGAAAAGCTGTTTATTGAGCTATTTTGAGGCCTAGGATGATCTCTTCCATTAGACGGGGTTTTTGCTTGCCTCTGTCAGGTGCTCAATGGCACTGATATCCTGAGGCCGCATATTCCAGATTCGAGGTTGGAAATTTCCCAGACCACTGAAGCCAGGCTGTCAGACATGCAGAGGCTGGTTTGCTTCTGGCCCGTCCTTACTCCTAGGGCACAATCCTCTGGGGTCACAGCCCAAAACAGGCAGTGGGTTGTCAGTGTCCCTCGCTGGGGGGCCTTGTAGTCCAGTTCCACCGCCTGCTGCCCCAGCCCTGAGAGACTCTCTGAAACAAAGCCCATCCTCCTAGTCACCTCTACCAAGTTGGCAAGTGCCTTCCTGGAAAGACGTGGTCCTGAATGCTGGGCTCACCCGTCTGGATTCCTGTCCTCCCTGGATGTCAGCATCATAGTTCTAAAGTACCTTGTTAGCTCTTGGGTGCTTTTCATGTCCAGCTTTTGGTCATCCTCTGCGGAGGGTTGGCCCACTTTGCTGAGTCTCCCATTTACTGACGGCATAAGGTCTTGTTTTCATCTTGGGACTCTTGCTCACATGGCATTTCACTGGTGCCATGAGCTCAGTCTGCTCTTTGCTTTTGGATGGGGCTGTATATTGGGACGTTGGGTTATGGCCTGTGCATATTATGGTTTCCTAACCTGAACCGCATCCTCTTGGAGGTTTGGCATGGTTCTGCTTAGGACTTAATGTACTCTGAATGAGAGGACAGACCTGTCTGTGGTGAAGAGGTCCTTTCACAAGGAGTCCCAGTCAAGAAGGAGTGTGTGTGAAAGCACTCTGTACGTTCTCAACCCGATCCAGGTACAAGGGTTTGCCCTACACGCTGTCGCATTTTGTTTCTCCCACAAGAGTTTTAGTAAAAGGCAGATTGAAGCCTTTGGCCCTATCCCACCTCACAGCGCATGCAGGAGGGACAGGAGCTAGATCGGCAGGGAAACAGGAGGGCTGCAGGCCTGTGAGCACAGTCACCGCAGGTTGCCAAGGGTCTCTGCCCCAAAGAGGGGCTGATACGTTGGAGTAGGATGTGCCGATGTCTGCCGTGCTGGCCCCCTTCCCTGCCAGCGTGTGCTTGAGGGCTGTGCTCTGCTACGGGGCCGTCCAGCACCCTCTCTCTGGGGACGTCCAGGTCTGCGTTGGCTCTCTCAGCTGCCCCCGCGGCGACTGCCTCGTGCTTGACACAGCCGCTTGCAGCACCTGGGACTTTCAGTGTGCCCTGAGCCTTTCTGAGTCCACTCAACTCCATTGCGTGTCCTGTGTTGTCCTCTGTGAAAAAAGGACAGACTTAAATGCAGATGACTTAGGCATCATGGAAGAAAAATCTCTTGTCTGAGAAGACTTTCAGCACTGATGGGTCATTTCACTTAGAAGTGCGCACACGGTGGTGAACTGTCCGTACAAGGCATATCCTTTACATGTGTGCCACACCTGTATCAGCCTCCTGGGGTTACCACAGACTGAATGACTGAGAACAACAGAAATGGCATGTGTCACGGTTGTGAAGGTGGAAGTCTGACACCCGGCGTCGGCAGGGCCGTGCTCGCTCTGAAGCTCCAGGAAGAACTTTCCTTGCCTATTCCCAGCTTCTTGCTGCCATTGTTCTTTGGCGTCCTTTGGCTTATAGTTACGTCATTCCAGTTCCTGCCTCTGCCCCTTACATGGCCATCTTCTTTCTGTGTGTGTCTGCGTCACTGTATCTTCACAAGACCTTCTTATACAAGGACAGTACTCTTTGGATTTAGGGCCCACCCTGATCCTGTATGACCTCATCTTAACTTGATTATAGCTGCGAAGACCCTATGTCCACATACACATAAGGTCACACTCAGGGATTGCAAGTTAGGCCTTCAGCGTAGCTTTCTGGGGCAACACAGTCCAATGCACAGCCACGCCTTCCCGTCTGCGACACACTTTCAAATCCGTGGTCTCCTCGCACCTTCACTAGAACCTGGAGACATGACCTGAGGGCTGGGACGCATCAGTGACAGTGTCAGAAGCCAGACCTTGGACTTTATGTCACTGTCCTTTCCTCTACATGATGTCATACCAAGACACTACATGTACAGTTCCTTGTCCTTCCTCATATAATTCGTGGAAATGAAAAGGTCAGTGTGGGCTGAGGAGGTGGCACCAAGCCCCACCCAGCCAGGCAGTGTCTCCACTTGGGAGTGATCTCTTTCACCTAAGATTCTTCATCTGCAAAATCCTTGCCTTTCACAGAACTGCCTAGGCATCTGGGATATAACAGAGAACACAACGGACCAGAAACCCTGCCTAGAGCTTACTTCCGAGCATCGCCAAGTCCGTACTAGGGAAGGGGCACGACAGTGTTCCGAGGAGCGGAAGGAACCAGTCACACCACCCTGTGGCCCCAAGGGAAGGTGGGTGCCAGCAGGGGACATGCCCTTGCTGCTGAGAGAGCAACAAGGTGCGTGCACACTGACGCCGCTGAGCGCCGAGGCTGCTCCCTCGGTCCAGGAGCTCAGCACGGCCATGAGAGGCTTTGGGGGGGAGTGAGAGGCTCCGGTAAAGCCGCCTGGGAAGTGACATCATCTTCTGACTGTGCGACCATGAGATCCTGCAAAGTCCCTGGGAGCTAAGTCACCCTGAGAGATCGGATGGCCAGCAAGGCTGACCAGTCCCCCAGCCAACGGGTTCTCAGGCCAAAAGAAGGGTGTGCAGGTCAGAGGGGTCAGCGGAGCATGTGCCTGACGTCCTGAGGTTTATACAGCGAAGCAGAATTGCTAGGCTAGGAATTAGCCTACTTTTATGAGGTGAGGTCACAGGTGCATCAGTATCTGCCACCAACAGTGCATGAGACTTGCTTCTGTTCCACCTTCTTACTAGCACTTGACATCCCCACATTTTCAGTGTTAGCCATTCTTATAGGCATGTAGTGGTGAATAATTGTAATTTTTTGGTTTGTTTTTTCATTAAGGTATCACTGATATACACTCTTTGAAGGTTTCACATGAAAAACAATGTGGTTACTACAATCACCCATATTATGGAGTCCCCCCAATGCCCCATTGCAGTCACTGTCCAGCAGTGTAGTGAGATGCCACAGAGTCACTGCTTGTCTTCTCTGTGCTGCACTGTCTTCCCCGTGACCCCCACACACCACGTGTGCCGATCATCATGCCCCTCAATTCCCTTCTCCCTCCTTCTGCACCCACCCTCCCCCACCCATCCACATTGGTAACCACTAGTCCCTTGGAGTTTGAGTCTGCTGCTGTTTTATTCCTTCAGTTTTTCTTCATTATTATACTCCACAAATGAGAGAAATCATTTGGTATTTGTCTTTCTTTGCCTGACTTATTTCACTGAGCATAATACCCTCTAGCTCCATCCATATTGTTGGAAATGGTAGGATTTGTTTTCTTCTTAAGGCTGAGTAATATTCCATTGTGTATATGTACCACATCTTCTTTACCCATTCATCCACTGATGGACACTCAAGTTGCTTCCATATCTTCACTATTATAAATAGTGCTGCGATAAACATAGGGGTGCATATGTCTCTTTGAATCTGAGAACTTGTTTTCTTTGGGTAAATTCCTAGGAGTGGAATTCCCGGGTCAAATTGTATTTCTATTTTTGGTCTTTTGAGAAACCTCGATACTGCTTTCCACAATGGATGATCTAATTTACATTCCCACCAGCAGTGTAGGAGGGTTCGTTCCCCTTTCTCTGCATCCTCGCCAGCATTTATTGTTCCTAGTCTTTTGTATGTTGGCCAGCCGAACTGGTGTGAG